GAGAGAGAGAGAGAAGAGAGAGAGAGAGAGAGAAGAGGAGAGAGAGAAGAGAGAGAGAGAGAGAGAGAAAGCAAGAGAGAGCGAAAGCTAGAAAGAGAGATAGAGAAAGAAGAGAGAGAGAGAGAGAGAGAGAGAGAGAGAGAGAGAAGAGAGAGAGAGAGAGAGAGAGAGAGAGAGAGAGAGAGAGAGAGAGAGAAGAGAGAGAGAGAGAGAGAGAAAACAGAAAGAGAGAGAGTTAAAGAAAGAGATGCGTATATACTGTATATATGGAGTGTACACATATACGCTGGCATTTTTTCCAGACAAGAAATTAAAGCCGTTTGTATGATTCTAACGCGACTTGAAAACTGCACGGGGTTACCTCGTGTGAAACAACCAGCATTAACTCATACAGGAAGAAGATGTTGCCGAGTTTCCTTCACCTGGAGAGAGCACTTTATTACAGGTTTTTACTGCACTGTGGACGGATTAAAGGCATGATGACACACCCAGGCTGGCTGGCTGGTCGGGCCTGAGCTAATTTTCACTTTCTTTTTCTTCGTGTGGGTTTTATAGATTGAAAAGAGAGAGGAAAAAGAAAAGAGAGAGAGAAGGGGAGGAGGGAAGGGAGGGAGGGAGGGAGGGAGGGAGGGAGGAGAGAGAGAGAGAGAGAGAGAGAGAGAGAGAGAGAGAGAGAGAGAGAGAGAGAGAGAGAGAGAGAGAGAGAGAGAGAGAGAGAGAGAGATAGAGAGAGAGAGAAGAGAGAGAGAGAGAGAGAGAGAGAGAGAGAGACAGAGAGAGATAGAGAGAAGGGAGGGAGAGGGAAAAACAGACAGATGTATGTATGTGTTATTCATATAGATACTTATGTGGGGGTAACGTATTTATAAGATTATCGAGATTATGTATGAAATATCTTTTTAGACAATGCTAATATGAACTTTTCCTCTCTCTAATGTTGCCTGTTCTGAACTGAGATTGACTTTATAATTTAATTACTAAAATAGAAGTATATGATGATTGCTATGGATGATTGCCATATTCGGCATGATGCAGTAAACACAAATTATGGGCTTTTTAATGAATCTTGCCTTATAAATGGTTTATGTGAAATTACGTTAACAAATCATTTCCCTCTCAGTAGTCGCCTGTAGAAGTAATTCTCTTCAGCCCTATACTTTAGCAGCATGACCGTATATCATTACTTTAGCGTACACGTTATTAAAGAATGTTGCTAAGAAATGCTCTGTCAAAATTTGAATATCATTATCATCTTTATCAAATTATAACGAGATAACTATACTCTCGGATCATATCGATGCGAACCTACATGAAATGATATTGACCGCATATGAAATCAATTCCAAAAATATACCAGCGACATAACGTGACATTAGAATGTTTTCAATGGAGAAACTCTAAAAATTGGAAGAAGGGGGGGCCGAAATAACAAAAAATACAGTAAAGCAATTTTAATTATCCTACTGTCTAGATTTTTATATCTATTGACGGAATCTCATACCATTTGGAAAGCAATGGACGAATATTTTTTGTAAAGTTACTTTTCAGTGTTCAATGTTCTCACAATTCATCGTTAAGAGTCAACACAAGCTAACCCTAAATCCGTGTTACAAAATAAACTATTGATTTTATCCCCTCACAGGTAAGGATGTTGAGCATTCATATTTAGGTAACACTCCTTTAAACTCAACATTGATTATGTAAAACAGGACTGACAATGAAACTGGAAATTATCAAATGGCAAAATAAGCCTAAATTAGATTTTAGCGTGGGAATGGAAGAGAGAGAGATAGAGATAGATAGGTAGGTACGTAGGTAAGTAGGTAGGTAAATAAATGAATAGACTGGTAGATGAACAGAGATACAGAGAGAAGAAGAAATATAAAGATAATGAGAGAAAGACGTGAAGAAATATAAAAGAGAGAGAGAGACGCGAAGAAATATAATGATAATGAGAGACGTGAAGAAATATAATGATAATGAGAAACGTGAAGAAATATAAAGATAATGAGAGAGACCTAAAGAAATATAAAAGCGAGAGAGAGAGAGAGAAGAGAGAGAGAGAGAGAGAGAGAGAGAGAGAGAGAGAGAGAGAGAGAGAGAGAGAGAGAGAGAGAGAGAGAGAGAGGAGAGAGAGAGAGAGAGAGAGAGAGAGGAGAAGAGAGAGAGAGAGAGAGAGAGAGAAGAAAGAGAAAGAGAAAGAGAGAGAGAGAGAGAGAGAGAGAGAGAGAGAGAGAGAGAGAGAGAGAGAGAGAGAGAGAGAGAGAGAGAGAGAGAGAGAGAGAAAGAAAGAAAGAAAGAGAGAGAGAGAGAGGGGGGGGGGATCATAAGACCGATTAAGTGGCTATAGAATGTGCACCTCTAGAAATGTTTACACATATTCTTGTGATTTTCAATATTTCACGCGGTCTTATACAGATATTAGGCCTACATCATATAGTCGAAAGAAACTACGCAGTCACCTTTTAGCGTTGCATTCATATTTAAGGTAAAATTGAAATATGTTTCTTTTATGAATATAGGGTATGTTCCGTGTGTGGCTGAATGGCAAAATGGAAAACACCTTTAATAATCATAAGCAATTAAACATATTATGATCCCGAGTGCGAATCACACGGAGGCAACGTGCAGAAGATAAACTCCATTTCATTATTTCAGGCCCGTCAGTCTTTCCTCCCTGCCGTTTATCATTTTATCTGTAGATCGATGCATTGCATGGAAAGTTTTCGCATATCGTGCTGATTTTACTAATTAGTGAGACAAATGTTCACCTAACTTACGATACACACTTTAAGCAGCCGCTTTGAATAAGCGGTCGCTCTGAGCGACTTTACTGAAGCTGAATGAATAAGAGGCGTAAGCCATTTTGGCTGAGAGAGCTTCGTGTTCGTCTGTAATTATTGTAAGGATTGAGATTGCATTTGCCACAGAAGGAAATCCTATGCAGACAGCTCCTACAGTTGAATATCGCAAACTTGCACTTGCCTGAACTCTCGCGCCAGTTTACGAAATCCAACATTATACAGTAACATGAACACGAGGTTTTAGTAGTTCGCTTTTTGGTCCTTATAACTAAATTTTATTCTGGTACCAGTACAAACGTCGTAAGCCACCTTGTACTGGCTCACACGCATGCGCACTGGAGGTTCTTTTGTCCGAAAAACCCGACGGCGACAAACATTCAGCGGCGACGCGATCGGACGAGGTGGCGGTCGCCGGGTTCGCTGCCCTTCTTATTTTTGTTGTTTGGTAGAAAAATAAGAAAAAAATCCATTGAAAAATTGTGTTTTGTTAGTGCAGCGAGACGCCAGAGATGCCCTCGGACGTGGAGGAAACGGAGTACAGAGGTAAGTTTGTAGATTTTTTAAAGTTTGATGGAGCTTTGTTTTGAATGGGCCGGCGTGAGGTCGCGTTGCTCAGGAAAATAGACCTTATTACTGTTATTGGTCGACCAAAGAGGCATTTTATTTGATTGTTCGCGTCAGAAATACAATTAGATGTGTGTGGAAACAATGCATTATGTTTAGTGAAGGATTGTGAAAGAAAATCTGGTTAGCATTTTCTTGGGTGGACGCAATTACAAAAGAGGATCGGCTAGTCAGCGACAAGAGTGGAAGCATCATGCTAGGTCTCTTCCGTGTCGCTGACGAGCCGGTCCGTAAAAGGGGACCATGCTACGCATTTTAAGGGAAATGTCTGGCTAATTTATGCATTTCCCAACCAGGAGACGCGAATAGCATGTGATGGAGGCATGTTTAACTCGAAAAGGCTATGGTTTGTTGATGTTTGAAGCAACGTTTGTTGGGTACACATCTGGCACCCTCGAGTGTCGCTGACGCAGGCTGGCCGACCCTCTCGCCTCGGCCTTTGGCGCGCAATTCGAACCACGCCGAGAGAAGCCACCGGGCCCAGGACCCGTCGCGGGACTTGTGCTTGTAGCTTTGGCAGATGGTGCTTGTACTCGAACCTAAATCACAACAAACTTTTTGGTTTTATCATCATCATCATTGTTATAAACACAGGGTAAAAAGCAATGGTTACTTAAGAATATAAAAATCCCTGTAATCATATTTGATTTCCTACCTCCATGTGAAACATTGTGATCTTTGATGAATGACTATCTTGAATCTAAAGTAATAGTGACATATTGTCAAATCATAAAGGCCTCTCATGTTTGTTGGTACATATGTTCTAGCAAATATAGTCCTTAGATTGGTTTCTGTGAAGGTTTGTTACCCTTTGCAAGAGCACAGGCAGGCTACAGGAGGTTATTGACATGCACTATTGTAGAATTTTTGTTTTTATGAACAAGATGATCATACAAAGAATGGCAAGGATGATTTTTTACAGTTACCACACCCCTTTTAGATAGTCTATTACTCAAGCATACATCCATCCATCCATACACACACAACATACATACATCCATCCATACACACACAACATACATACATCCATACACACACAACATACATACATACATCCATCCATACACACACAACATACATACATCCATCCATACACACACAACATACATACATCCATCCATACACACACAACATACATACATACATCCATACACACACAACATACATCCATCCATACACACACAACATACATACATACATCCATCCACACACAACATACATACATACATCCATCCACACACAACATACATACATACATCCATCCACACACAACATCCATCCATCCATCCATCCACACACAACATACATCCATCCATCCATCCACACACAACATACATACATACATCCATCCACACACAACATACATATATACATCCATCCACAACAACATACATTCATACATCCATCCACACACAACATACATACATACATCCATCCACACACAACATACATACATCCATCCATCCACACACAACATACATACATCCATCCATCCACACCAACATACATACATCCATACATCCATCCACACACAACATACATATATACATCCATCCACACACAACATACATTCATACATCCATCCACACACAACATACATACATACATACATCCACACACAACATACATACATACATCCATCCACACACAACATACATACATACATCCATCCATCCACACACATCCATCCATCCATCCACACACACATCCATCCATCCACACACATCCATCCATCCACACACACACACATCCATCCATCCCACACACATCCATCCATCCACACAACATCCATCCATCCATCCATCCATCCACACACACACATCCATCCATCCACACACACACATCCATCCATCCACACACACACATCCATCCATCCACACACACACATCCATCCATCACACACACATCCATCCATCCATCACACACACATCCATCCACACACACACATCCATCCATCCACACACACACATCCATCCATCCATCCACACACACACACACATCCATCTCCACACACACACACACATCCATCCATCCACACACACACACACACATCCATCCATCCACACACACACACACATCCATCCATCCACACACACACATCCATCCATCCACACACACACATCCATCCATCCACACATACACATCCATCCATCCACACATACACATCCATCCATCCACACACACATCCATCCATCCACACACACACATCCATCCATCCACACACACACATCCATCCATCCACACACACACACATCCATCCATCCACACACACATCCATCCATCCACACACACACACACACATCCATCCATCCACACACACACACACATCCATCCATCCACACACACAACACATCCATCCATCCACACACACACACATCCATCCATCCACACACACACAACACACATCCATCCATACACACACATCCTCCATCCATCCATCCACACACACACACACACACACACACACACACACACACACACACACACACACACATATCCATCACACACACACACACACACACATCCATCCACACACACACACACCCACACACACATCCATCACACACACACACATCCATCATCACACACACACATCATCCACACACACATCCATCCATCCACACACACACATCCATCCACACACACACACAACACATCCATCCACACACACACACACACATCCACACACACACACACACATCATCCATCCACACACACACCATCCACACACACATCCATCCACACACACACACATCCATCCATCCACACACACAACACACATCCATCCACACACACACACATCATCCACACACACACACACATCCATCCACACACACACACACATCCATCCACACACACACATCCATCCACACACACACATCCATCCACACACACATACATCCATCCATCCACACATACATCCATCCACCACACACACATCCATCCATCCACACACACACACAACATACATCCATCCACACACATACAATCCATGCATGCTAAATACAATCGACCCACACACTTGTATACATACACACTATAGTTATATACATCCACACACTTAAATGCATCCACACACACTTAAATGCATCCACGCACACTTAAATGCATCCACACACACTTAAATGCATCCACACACACTTAAATGCATCACACACACTTAAATGCATTCCAGACACACTTATATGCATCCATACATACATCAGCGCACATAAACACACCACTTACACACACATGCACACAAGGTCATACATATACACACATTCATGCATACATACATATACATATGCATACATACATATACACATGCATACATACATATACACATGCATACATACATATACACATGCATACATACATATACACATGCATACATACATATACACATGCATACATACATATACACATGCATACATACATATACACATGCATACATACATATACATATGCATACATACATATAACATGCATACTACATATACTCATGCATACATACATATACACATGCATACATACATATACACATGCATACAACATATACACATGCATACATACATATACACATGCATATATACATATACACATGCATACATACATATACACATGCATACATACATATACATGCATACATAATAAACATGCATACATACGTATGCGCATGCATACATACATATATACATGCATACATACATATACGCATGCATGCATGCATACATACATATACGCATGCATGCATGCATACATATACGCATGCATGCATACATATACGCATGCATACATACATATACGCATATATACATACATATGCACACATGCACGCACACATACATACACATATACATATATACACACATTCACTTGCACACACACACATACACACACACATTTTGATAGGTAGATTTAAATAGGGTATAGGTTGAAGACACTGACATGCATAGAGAAGAGGAAAATGGACACTGCCATGTTATAGAGTGGGATAGAACATAGTGTAAGCTGCAGCGGCTTCATATTTACCGCTAAATGACGGAAAATATAATGCGTGTTCGCTGCATAAATTCGAAGTCGATCAGCTTTTTACTTTGCTAAGAAAAGAACAGTGACCTCTTAACTCATTACTGTGATGCCCTAAGTAGCACCAGTGTTACTACGCACATGTTGAAGCAATATTTGGCTAATTATCCGTGTTTACATTTACACATTTATGCTCTGAAAGTCTTTTATTAATATTTTTATACTTCATTTATGCGTTTTAAGATTGGTTAGTAGCCTTATTTAGAATCCTGCTCATCGTGCATTTCACACTTCCTTTTGCAGTATTTGTTACAGAGAGCGGAGCACCATCCTAGAGACTGCAGGGAATCCAATGATTTCATCGATTCTTGGTGTTGTTTCTTGTACAAATTAATCATTCAGGAGATCGAGTGCCATTTCTCCATCGATGATCTTATTTCTTAGTCCCGTTAGCATGGGAGGGTTTGAATATATCAGAGAAAGTACTGGGTAAAACAGGTTTAAATAAGAAGAAAAATTATTTTTAAAATATGTTTAAAACTAGCTCAAAAACTGCTTAAAATAGGTCATTTAAACTTAAGCAAAACTCTATGGGAATTCACACATTTCAACCCCCCCAAAAAAAGTATTGACCAATAAGCCAGCTCATATATCAATTTTAGTTGCCATGACCTGGTGTGCCCTTTGGGCACTACCCAAGGGGAGGGTTGATGGGGGGCTCTGCCCCCAACACCCCCCAGGATACATTCTCTTCACCTTGGTGTGTATGGCAAGATAGAGCTGCATTCACACTGTAAAATGATAAACAAATACCTTATATCTGGAACGTCAAACTTTCGTTCGTTTCCTTCTACTGTCTGGATTGCTTTTGATTTTAATCACTTTTTTCGGAATTTGGAGCTCGTGATGGGCCAGATATTAAACTGGGATTGTTACTGAACTCTATTTTATCTTTATTGCTATATAGTCTTCAAAATAACCCAAATCAACACATGGCTGGAAACACAACATTTCTTACTGGCATTCCACCTTGAAATGAGCTGACTGGTGAAAGGGGTACAAGTTAAAAAGCGGAAGAAATAGAGTGGGATAGAACATAGTTTAAGCTGCAGTGGTCTTATAGTCACCACTAAATGACGGAAAATATAGTGTGTGGGCACCACTCAATTCTAAGTCCAGCTACTTCTTTATCTTGCCAGGAATAACAAAACACTGAAACACAGAACTCATTACTGCAATGTCCGAACTAGTTTGTGTTACTACGTGCTTGTCAAAACTGTTTGGCTAATTATCAGTGTGTGCTGTTATACATTTATGCTTTTAAAGTCTTTTATTAATTTTGCTATACTTCATTTGCATATTTTAAGATAATTTCCCCCCCCCCCCCTTCAAAATCTTGCATATAGTGTAGCTGGATCGCAGTAATTTGGGTGTCTATTGGCCTACATTGACCTTTTTTAAGATTTCTCAAATCTAAAAAAAATAAAATAAAAAATAAATGAATAAATAAATCTGATTCAGTATCTGAATAGAACAATATTTCTACTATAAAATGTGGAAGCCAATATTTAAGTTATTATTTGTGTGTGTGTGTGTGTGTGAATATTTTATGAGGCAACTATTTCAACACCCTAAAAAGGGAAAGTGGGGATACTGAAAATATCACTTTTATAAGATGCACATGAAGATATTGCAAATCCTTATTGCAGCATGTAATAGATCAACGATTCAGCTAAAAAATGAGCCATAATATGTTAAAATCAGACTGAAAATGCGTGTGCTATGCGTGAAAATGTGAAGGACTCGAACACTTTTTTATTATTATTATTATTATATTATTATTTTTACATATGAAATCATGTTCGAAATAATTGAGTATGATATAATTATCTATTATTTACCTATTATTGTTGCTGTAATGGGGTTTTACAGGGTACAATACTGGTCAAAAAATTATCGTTCTCCAGTTGGATGGGTATCACACACTTCCTGTTCTCAGCCCGGCTGGGCAACATTGGCCATGCCTCAGGAGTCATTTCACCCGAGGATCTGAGGTGTTTAACTCTACCGGGCAACATAGCCAATTTTCACACTCGGACTCCCATGAAATGACAACATACAAGTACAGGGCAGGGTAAAAATATATAGATAATTTCTGTGTATCCCAGGACCTTTCATTTTATTACATTGTTACTTCCATTTGTTGTGTTGTTTTGTTGTGTTTCTGATATTTCAATAAGTCATGAAAACATTTTTATGAGATTTTTACCAATGGTATGTTTTAACCTAACTTCGACACCGAGTACACTTTGGTGATGATGTGGACCATGTGGAAAAAAAATTATTTTGGATGACTTTGAAAAGGGCCACTACCACCTAAAAAAAAAAAAAAAAAAAAAAAAAAAAAAAAAAAAAAAAAAAAAAAAAACAGCGGTCAGGCCTTGAAATGCATTTAACCCAATTTTGTCAAGACGGCCGAAAAACGCTGAAAAAAGACAAACAGTCTCGTGAACAATTAATGTCAATGAATCTAGAGGAGAATGTCTGCAAATAGTTAATTGTACCACCAGTCTTTCATTCATTAACTATGAATATTTGGTAGACTATCAATAATCACAATATAGTTTTAAAAAGCTAATTACTTATTGTACACTTCTTTTGACAGAAGAAATAAACTGAAAACTTGGATTTAGCGTTCAAAGAAATTTTGCATTGTGGAATATAAGGAACGACGAGTTTTTGCCCAGAAAAACATCATTGTCAAAAGAAATTATTTATCTGAACTGTAATTGATCCTATACTTGAGTATTCAACTTGTTTCATAGTTAACACTTAGTTGTAAATATTTTAGGTGATTTAGTACTGCACACTAGTGTCAGATATATCTTGACTCTATATGGTGTCACTGAAAATTATCTAAATTGTAACAAGCCCTTAAAAAGTATACTCTTTTATTACGTTTTGCCCTATGAATGATATTGTTGTTGCAGAGGAGGAGGAGGAGCAAGGGGAAGGGGAGGAAGAAGAACAAGATCAAGGTGATTCAAATGAAGAAGAACAAGATGAAGAGTGGGGTGGAGGAAAGCGGAAACGAAAGAAAAGTAAAAAGAGAAAATCGTCACGTGGTGAGCGAGGGCGGAAAAAACGAAAGAAGAAAGATGAGAGTGAGAGTGTAAGTATTGCCGTATGATTTCATATTCTGGGTTCACAGAATTTTAAAACATGATTAGATGAAATTACCGGGTTGGAGTTTTACGTATTTGAAGAAATTTCCAAGGCAAATATTGAAGATTGTGTTACAGACATATACTCTATCGTAGAATAATAATTGGACCCAATTTACCTGATTACTTTAGTTAGTTCAGTGATGCAATAATACATTGAGGTATTAACCAATTTTTATTTAGTTAGCATATCTAATGAAACTTACCAAAGACACTTTATGATTATTCACAAATATAAATAGGAAGGTGAATATGAAGAAGAGGGTGGTCGTGTTGACTCAGACAATCAAGAAGAGACCCCGAAAGGAAGGGGGCGTGGAAAGGGACGTGGGAGACCTCCTGCAACTCCCACAGCAACAGTACCAGAATCAAGTGAGTAATACAAGAACTACTTTTTATCATCATTACAACTTGATGCCTTGAAAAGTTATTACATTTGACACCACATAAAGGATAGATTTAACGTGGTAGAGGATGAGTTAATCTTGTCAGATAATTTCACAGGTGGAGGAGATCAGATGCCAACTGTTGCTGAGGTGTGTGAAAGCTTTGGTCTGAATGATGTCGAATTGGAGTACACTGATTCAGACTTTCAGAATTGACAACATACAAGTTGTTCCAGCAACATGTGCGTCCACTTCTGGCTAAGGAAAATCCAAGGGTAAGGTATTTTCTGTTTGTGTTGCTATATTTTTTATCAACCTTGTGGAGACACTCATTTAGTGTTGCATTCCTTTGAATTAATTTTGTAATAGGTAATAGAATTATTTTTAAAAGTATTAAACCATTTTTGTAATGAAAAGGGGGTTGGGTATTCATAAAAGAAATTTAAAGATACTCTTTATGATAGAAATCTTCTCTGTCCACGTATCTAAAAGGTACCAGTGTCAAAGTTGATGATGTTGGTAGCTGCAAAGTGGCGTGAATTCACGGCTCGCAATCAGCAGCAGGAAGAGGAGGAGGAAGATGAAATTGTAGAAGAGGAGGAAGAAGAGGAACCAGAACCAGCACCGGTACAAGTAAGATATTTTGTTGTAGATTAGAGCATGGCATATGCATATGGAAAGTGAAAATCTTTTAACATTTTTATTTGTTTATTAGTTTACTAGAACTGATGAGATGTTAGAGACTTCATATGTAAGGGGGGGGGTTACTTATGGTTAAGGTTATGTATCAAAAAGAAACCCATTCTTATTATCATTGCTTATGTCAACAGATAACACCCAAGGGTCGAGGACGCCCTAGAAAAGCCAAGGTAGATGAAGAAGTTGAGGAAGATTTTGATGATGATAGTGAGGGCGTGGGTAAGAAGAAACGTGGCCGAAAACGCACTGCTACAGCTGAAGGAAAAAACAAAAAGGGTGGAAAAGTTCCAACTTTGAAGATTAAGTTAGGGAAGAGGAAGAAGGACACCTCGGTGAGTCTGGTGAGATGGTCTATTTTGGTTAATAATTGTAGTTTTGAAGAAACTCTTGTGCCAGGATCTCTCGACTTGATTTTTCAAGTTTTAGTTGTCTTGTAAAAAAGCAAAGTGATATCAACCTAAATGTCCTGCTAGCACTGGTTTTGAGGATATTTTGGATGATTCTTGCGTATTTCTTCTTAATCTGTTTACATTTTGGTATTGGGTTCAGTTGATGGATACAGTAGATTATTGGACACTAGACACAAGTGTATCTTCTTTTCTATGTTATTTAGATTTAAGTTTGCATGTTCCATTTGAAATATTTTAACAAAATCCCAGATCTTTGACACAAGGTTCTTGATGAAAAATAGATTCATAGTGTCTTTTGAATTTGATATTCCTAGGAAGGTGAAACTCTCCCTCCTCGTAAGTTTAATGCCTTATGTAGAGAGAGAATCTAGAATCCTCTCCATTCCTGTCTTCTGATCGTATATGCTAAAACAAGTTTTATTTTTTCTGAGATACTTTGTCCTATGAAAAATGGAGATTTACCTTATTAATAGTACTAAGAGAATTAGTTCTATTTATTTCTAATTGGCAATTCTAGTTTTGATCCCAGAAATTTGTCGTCTTGCAATCTCACAGATCTCAGTTATATGTTGCAGAATCGTGACATTACTTCTCCTCATCTGCTTGACCAAGCTAAGCTCCAAAGCTGTTGATAAATTTCATATGTTTATCAAAGTATTATAGAATATCCTTCTGGCAAAATTCTTTTCTAGTGATGATCTAAATTGAAATTGACAGTTATTTCTGTTTTTTTCATTCCTAATTTAGATGATACTAACCATTCTTAATATTTATATTCAGGCACTATATGTGCTTCCCATTATTCCCAAGTTAAATCTATGTAATGCTCTCTCAGTCCAATTCATTTTGCTTTAAAACTTCCCTGTCCTTTGGCACCCACCTCATCGCAGGGCCACACCAAAGGACTGAACAAAAACAATGAGCCGGTCCTGCAGGAGTCCCAGAAAGTATGTTACAAAATCTCAAGTACTTGGCATGTAAGGTTTATATGATAAGGCCTCCTCCCTTTTGCACCTACACCTCACAAAAAGGGTTTATATCCCTCTTTATCATGAAACTTTATTGACTGCCAGGCAGCGTGCACCCTCTTTATAGATTGTGGGCTGTGAGATTGCCTACTTTCGATTAAAAAAAAAAAAAATACACACAACTACAAAAAAAAAGAAATTAAAAAAAAAAAAAAAAAAAAAAAAAAAAAAGAACAGAAGAAGAAAAAAAATCAGCCTCATTTATATCACCTAGTTGTGTAGTATCATTTCCTTGTTTTCTTAGCTGCAAACTATGAACTAGGCCTAATCATAGTGTAAACCTCATGTTCTGGCACAGTTACTGATAATATTTCTTTTCTTTTTTTTTTTAACTCTTGGGATGAATAGGAGGATGAGTCAAGCCAAGACAGTGATGCAGAGTTTGAGCAAATGTTAGCTGAGGCAGAGGACATGAATAAGGCTGAAGATGAGGCAGAACAGCAAAATGCGCCCAAAAAGAAAGCCAAAACCAAGATTGGCAACAAAAATAAGCGTAAAAGCGTATGAAGGCAAAGGATGAGGATGGATATGAAACAGATCATCAAGTGAGTGTGTTTGTTTATTTTTACTATTAGAAGATGCATGAATAAGAATGACTATAGCTTTTGTAAGAATGTTCTGTGGAATGCTCTTTAGTTGTCACCTTGTACGTAATATGCAGTTCTTTAGTTAAGGTATAAGGAAACTGGAGTCTGGACATTGATACTGACTCGTTTCTTTCAACTTAATCAGTCTCCCCCAAATCAGGATTACTGCGAGGTATGTCAGCAGGGTGGTGAGATCATCCTTTGTGACACTTGTCCTAAGGCTTACCATCTGGTGTGTCTTGAACCAGAATTGGAAGAGGCTCCTGAGGGCAAGTGGTCATGCCCCACTTGTGAGTCAGAGGGAGTCAAGGAAGAAGATGAACATATGGAGTACTGTAAAGTTTGTAAGGTTAGTAATCTTTCTCTTGCCACTCCTCATGCCTCTTCCCCCCACCCACCCACCCTTATACTTCTTTCCTCTCTCCCCCCTATACTTCTTTCCTCTCTCCCCCCCTTATACTTCTTTCCTCTCTCCCCCCTTATACTTCTTTCCTTTCCCCCCCCCATATACTTCTTTTCTTTCCTCTCCCCCCCTTATACTTCTTTCCATTCCTCCCCCCCCTTATACTTCTTTCCATTCCTCCCCCCCCTTATACTTCTCCTTTCCTTTCCTCAACCCCTTGCCCCTTTTACTTCTCCTTTCCTTTCTCAACCCCTTGCCCTTTTACTTCTCCTTTCCTTTCCTCAACCCCTTGCCCCTTTTACTTCTCCTTTCCTTTCCTCAACCCTTGCCCTTTTACTTCTCCTTTCCTTTCCTCAACCCCTTGCCCCTTTTACTTCTCCTTTCCTTTCCTCAACCCCTTGCCCCTTTTACTTCTCCTTTCCTTTCCTCAACCCCTTGCCCCTTTTACTTCTCCTTTCCTTTCCTCAATCCCTTGCCCCTTTTACTTCTCCTTTCCTTTCCTCAACCCTTGCCCCTTTTACTTCTCCTTTCCTTTCCTCAACCCCTTGCCCTTTTACTTCTCCTTTCCTTTCCTCTCCCTCCTTTCACTTCTCCTTTCCTTTACTCTCCCTCATTTGACTTCTCATTTCCTTTCCTCTCCCCCCCCTTACACTTCTCTTTCCTTCCTCAACCCTTCCCCCTTTTACTTCTCCTTTCCTTTCCTCTCCCCTCCTATCACTTCTCCTTTCCTTTACTCTCCCTCATTTGACTTCTCATTTCCTTTCCTCTCCTCCTCCCCCCACCCATTTACTTTTTTTCTTTCCTCTCCCTCATTTGACTTCTCCTTTCCTTTCCTCCCCCCCCCCCCCATACCCATTTACTTCTTTTCTTTCCTCTCCCCTCGTTTGACTTCTCCTTTCTCCCCCCCCCCCCCCCCATTTACTTCTTTTCTTTCCTCTCCCTCCCACCCCCATTTACTTCTTTTCTTTCCTCTCCCTCCCCCCCCCCTTTATTCCATTTCCTCCCCCCCCTTATACTTCTTTCCTTTCCTCTCCCACCCACCCCCCTTTTACTTCTCCTTTCCTTTCCTCTCCCCTGCTTTCACTTCTCCTTTCCTCGTCTCTCCCCTGCTTTCACTTCTCCTTTCCTCGTCTCTCCCTCCTTTCACTTCTCCTTTCCTCGTCTCTCCCTCCTTTCACTTCTCCTTTCCTCGTCTCTCCCTCCTTTCACTTCTCCTTTCCTTTCCTCTCCCCTCCTTTCACTTCCCCTTTCCTTTCCTCTCTCCTCCTTCCACTTCTCTTTTTTCTTTTCCTCTCTCTCCTTCCACTTCTCTTTTCCTTTCCTCTCCCTCCTTTCACTTCTCCTTTCCTCGTCTCTCTCCTCCTTTCACTTCTCCTTTCCTCACCTCTCCACTCCTTTCACTTCTCCTTTCCTCACCTCTCCCTCCTTTCACCTTTCCTTTCCTTGCCTCTCCTCCTTTCACTTCTCCTTTCCTTTCCTCTCCCCTCCTTTCACTTCTCCTTTCCTTTCCTCTCTCCTCCTTCCACTTCTCCTTTCCTTTCCTCTCTCCTCCTTCCACTTCTCTTTTCCTTTCCTCTCCCCTCCTTTCACTTCTCCTTTCCTCGTCTCTCTCCTCCTTTCACTTCTCCTTTCCTCGTCTCTCCCCTCCTTTCACTTCTCCTTTCCTCGCTTCTCCTCTCTTCTCCTCTCTCATATCCTATCATATTCAGCGCACTCTCACTCATACTCACTCATACTCACTCACACTCACTCACTCACTCACTCACTCACTCACTCACTACTCACTCACTTCACTCACTCCACTCACTCACTCACTCACTCACTCTCTCTCTCTCTCTCTCTCTCCTCTCTCTCTCTCTCTCTCTCTCTCTCTCTCTCTCTCTCTCTCTCTCTCTCTCTCTCTCTCTCTCTCTCTCTCTCTCTCTCTTTCTTATTCTCTCTCTCTCTCTTATTCTCTCTCTCTCTTATTCTCTCTCTCTCTCTTATTCTCTCTCTCTCTTTATTCTCTCTCTCTCTCTTATTCTCTCTCTCTCTCTTATTCTCTCTCTCTCTCTTATTCTCTCTCTCTCTCTTATTCTCTCTCTCTCTCTTATTCTCTCTCTCTCTTATTCTCTCTCTCTCTCTTATTCTCTCTCTCTCTTATTCTCTCTCTCTCTCTTATTCTCTCTCTCTCTCTTATTCTCTCTCTCTCTTATTCTCTCTCTCTCTCATTCTCTCTCTCTCTCTTATTCTCTCTCTCTCTCTTATTCTCTCTCTCTCTCTTATTCTCTCTCTCTCTTATTCTCTCTCTCTTATTCTCTCTCTCTTATTCTCTCTCTCTCTCTTATTCTCTCTCTCTCTCTCTATTCTCTCTCTCTCTCTCTCTATTCTCTCTCTCTCTCTCTCTCTCTCTCTCTCTCTCTCTCTCTCTCTCTCTCTCTCTCTCTCTCTCTCTCTCTCTCTCTCTCTCTCTCTCTCTCTCTCTCTTTATGGAAAATGTATAAGAATCATGAATGATGGGACTTTATTATCATCATCATTATTAACTAAACATTTTTTCTAGGATGGTGGTGAACTTCTTTGCTGTGATTCATGTGTGAATGCCTACCATACAATTTGTTGTCACCACCTTTGTTTGAAGTACCTGAAGGAGAATGGACCTGTCAGCGCTGTGCTTGTGAACCTTTGCCAGGAAAAGTCCAGAAGATCCTATTCTGGAGGTAAGTCCTACTTAGCTTTCATCTATCTGTAGTATAGTATTAGAATTTTATTTTATATATTTATTTTTTATTTTTTTTATTTTTTAATGTTTATTATTGTTTTTTCTCTCACTTTCTCTTAATGATTTACAGTCCACATAGATATATTTTTTCTACTGTGATGCAGTGTCTGAATCTTTGCTTTTGTGATTGCAGATATGTTGACCCCAAAGCCACCAGAGAATTGGAAGGAGATTGTTGGAGACAAATGGGAAAAATATCAGTTCAAACAGCTGCGAGAGTTTTTGGTGAAGTGGGTTGATATGTCATACTGGCACTGCTCTTGGATTTCTGAACTCATGTTGGATGTACATCATCCTCAGGTAAACCTTTTATCATCCACAGTTTTTATGGTCATTTCAGCTTCTGAATTAAAAATAGGCTTGTATATTGTTGTTGTTGTTCTGCTTTGTTTTTTATATAAGCTTATTGTAGGACTTGTCAGTTTATTAAATCTGTAAAAGTGTTTAAGCAATGATATTTTTCCTTCCTTTTAAGATGTCGCTCATACTCAAAAAAGTTTGATCCAGATGAGCCACCTGTACCTGGTATGGATGACGACGATGAAGTAGGGTCACAAAGACGTGGCAAAAGCATTGATCCAACTCCTTGGAAGAAAGGTAGAAATACAAATATTTTCATGATATTATTGTGTTGTGTATATATAGATAAAAGACTGCTTTCAATTGGGTGGGTGCATTTCAATTTGAGTTAAAATTTAATTTCTCAACAGATATTACAAAATATGGAATCAAGTCCACCTGGTTGAAATCCATCGTGTGTTGAACCATCGTTCTTTGCGGATGGAACCATACAGTATCTTGTGAAATGGCGAGACTTACCCTATGACCAAGCTACATGGAAGATGAGGATGAAGAGATTATTGGCTTAAAAACTGCAATTGAGTTTTATCATGATCTGAGAGCAGCATGTAATGCTGATGCTGGTTAGTGTTCTCAAATGATCCATCACTTTTGTGAATTGTCATTTTTACATTTCTTTTTGCATATTTTAACTAATGCTTAATATGATCAGTATTTTCACTGTAATTCTTGTTGTATTTACAGTTGGTAAGAGTAAGAAAGGAAAGAAGAAAGGCAAGGCAAGGGCACGAGAATTGGGAGAAGAAGATCGTGAGCCTTCTTCACCCCGGCGATACACTCCTCCACCTGATAAACCAGTAACGAACCTCAGTAAGAAGTGGGAGAAGCAGCCAGACTACCTGGATATGACTGGGCTCTCACTTCACGAGTATCAGCTTGAGGGTGTTAATTGGTTACGGTAAGGATAGAATACTTTTGAGAGATTCACTGAAGACCTAATGCCATTAAACAGTTCACAAATTATTGTAATTAAGTAGTTAGTTTTTATTCATTGTTTTTATCAATATTGATATATATTGCTATTATTTTAACTATTTTTATTTTTATGATTGCCTTAATATCATTTCTGCTTTTATTGGTTATGTTTTTGCTTTATGCTTTTGCACATCTTTAACATCCAAAATATCAAAATATAAAATCTTGTTATCCACCTGTCTTAGAGCCAAAAACTTGTAACAGTTATATGATATATTTTATATGCTAAGTATTGTCTCTTTTTACAGATATTCTTGGGGTCAGGGAACAGACACCATCTTGGCTGATGAGATGGGTCTTGGAAAGACAATTCAGACCATTGCATTTTTGTATTCACTCTACAAAGAAGGACACTCTAAAGGTCCCTTCCTTGTAGCTGTCCCACTCTCCACCATCATTAATTGGGAAAGAGAGTTTGAGATGTGGGCCCCAGACTTCTATGTTGTTACATATGTAGGTGACAGAGAATCACGATCTATGATTCGTGAGCATGAATTGTCATTTGAGGAAGGAGCAGTGCGAAGTGCATCAAAAGCCACACGTATCCGTACAACAAATGTAAAATTCAATGTACTTCTAACCTCCTATGAGATGATATCTATGGATCAAGCTTGCCTAGGATCATTAGAGTGGGCATGCTTGGTTGTAGATGAAGCTCACAGATTGAAGAGTAACCAGTCTAAGGTAATATTGATCTCTATGGACACATGTAGTGAATATGACTGCTATACTTTGTGTTTTTGTGTTTTCGTGTTCTGAAATTTGTAAGTTGGATTAATGCCCCTTTATTTGGACAGTTCTTCCGTGTGCTGAACCAGTACAACATCGTTTATCGTCTGCTTTTAACTGGAACCCCACTTCAAAACAACCTGGAGAACTTTTCCATTTACTCAACTTCTTGTGTCCTGAAAAATTCTCTGATCTATCATCCTTCCAAATGAATTTGAAGATATTGCAAAAGAAGATCAGATTAAAAAACTGCACGATTTGCTTGGACCTCACATGTTGAGAAGATTGAAGACTGATGTACTCAAGGTAAATTAATGATTCTCTTTCTTTCACAGTCTTTGATACTTGCTTTATAGTTTGATGAGCTATGTGGAAATCAGATTATAATAATTTGATATTTTGTTGTTCTTTTGCTAGAACATGCCAACCAAGTCAGAGTTCATCATTCGTGTGGAGTTATCACCACTGCAGAAGAAATACTACAAATACATTCTTACCCGTAATTTTGAAGCCCTTAACTCAAGAGGAGGAGGCCAACAGGTAAGTTTCATTTACAAAGCTTGGTTGTAGATAGATATATGAAAGGATGTTACTCATGGGAATACTCTTTTATAATCATTGTAATTGGGCAATTATTTCTCATCACATTTTTCTTTTCCAGGTTTCTTTGCTCAACATTGTCATGGATCTGAAGAAGTGTTGCAACCATCCATACCTCTTCCCAGCAGCAGCAGAGGAGGCCCCTAAGCTGCCAAATGGAATGTATGTAAGCAGAGACCTTGTGAAGGCCAGTGGCAAGTTCATTCTCCTGGAGAGTATGTTGGAGAAGCTCAAACGTGATGGCCATCGGTGAGTTTCACAGTGAAGGTTGCAGTTATTTGACATGTTGAGAAAAACAGTTTTGAAATTATCTTTTAATTTTTTTATGGAAGTCAGGGAAGATCAAAATTTCCCCTTAACTTCTTAATCAACCTCAAACCTCATTAATGTTGAGTTCTAAATGTGTCTCTCCTTTTTATTTTTCAGTGTGTTGATTTTCTCCCAGATGACAAGGATGTTAATGTTTTGGAAGACTTCTGTGAGGGCATGGGTTACAAATATGAAAGAATTGATGGTGGCATCACTGGTCAAGCTCGTCAAGAAGCCATTGATAGGTCAGACCACTACAGATAAACTAAGAATTATGGTATAATGTGTGATAGCAACTGTTGAGACAGAGTCATTATATGGTTTATTTACAATGTTTTCATCTCCCATACAGATTCAATGCTCCAGGTGCCCAGCAGTTTATTTTCTTATTGTCTACTCGTGCTGGTGGTTTGGTATCAACTTGGCCACTGCAGATACTGTCATCATCTATGATTCTGATTGGAATCCACATAACGATATTCAAGCTTTCTCCAGAGCTCATCGTATTGGTCAGGCAAATAAGGTAAATTAAATGTAATAATAGTCTTAGTGTTACGGAATCCTTTGAAGTGTAGAATAAATATAGATCTTTGTCATGATTTATAGTTAAAAGAATTATTGACATTGAAATATTTACAGTATAGATCAGATTTTAATACCAGTGCATCATTTCAGTTTTATACCTAATTATACTGTATATATATGAATTATTCCAACAAATAAGTCTGGCCTTTATTCTTACAGGTGATGATTTACCGGTTTGTGACTCGTAACTCTGTTGAAGAAAGAGTCACACAGGTTGCTAAGAGAAAGATGATGTTGACTCACTTGGTTGTCCGTCCTGGAATGGGATCAAAAGCCACAAACTTCTCCAAACAAGAATTGGATGATATCTTGAGGTAAGCACATTTTTTGTCTTTTCTTTTGTAAATTTTTTAAGCTTTGCCATGTAGGTATATTTTGTTCTGACCAATGTGTTTCTTTAAAGTAAATGTCTTTGTATTTAAAAGGAGTTATGTGCAAGTAGACTTTATTTCCCTTTATTTGGTAAAAAGACATATGAATATTCTTTTGTAACTGTATACTTTCACAGGTTTGGTACAGAAGAACTTTTCAAAGAAGAGGAAGGCAAAGAGGATGAAGCTATCCATTATGATAACCAGGCTATTGAGGAACTCCTTGACCGTACAAAGGAGGGTATTGAACAGAAGGAGAACTGGGCTAATGAGTATCTCAGCTCTTTCAAGGTTGCTTCATATGTTACCAAAGAAGGGGAAGAGGTGAGTAGTTTTAGTTACAGTTTCAATGAAAATTATTCAGGTGAAAAGCTTTTTTCTACCCATTATGAAAAGTGCATATATAATAATGATTTGTGTTATTTCTACAGGAGGAAATGGAAGATGTTGAGGTTTTGAAGCAAGAAGCAGATAATACAGATTCCCTTTACTGGGAACGACTTTTGCGCCATCACTTCGAACAACAACAGGAAGATCTGGCAAGAACTCTTGGAAAGGGTAAACGAGTCAGGAAACAGGTTAGTACAGAGAATTTAGATGTAATCAACAATGTTTTCATTATCAGAATAAATATTTAGTAGCCATGTTTGTCTCATCTTTAACTAAGTCTAGCATTAACAATGAAGAAAATTGTATGATCTTTATTTGCAACTTTGTTTTCAAGGTGAACTACAACGATGCAGCAGATGGTAGAGAAGATCTTAGCTGGCAAGAACAGGGATCAGACTACAACTCTGACTTCTCCATGCCATCTGACAATGATAATGATGATGAATTTGATGAAAAGAATGAAAGTAAGTGTTTTATATTTCATAGACATTGAGCTACTCTAAGTACATGAATGAAAAGATGAGGAAGATTATTTGTCTCCTGTTAGTATTACACACATATGTTATTGTAATTGTAATTTTAAGATACTTTTAATCTAAAACTTGCCCTCAGCTGAAGGAGGCCGTAGATCACGCCGTCGTGGTGACAGAGGTGACCGTGATCGTCCATTGCCGCCACTTCTTGCCCGAGTTGGAGGAAATATTGAAGTAAGATATTGGAGATACACACTTTTGATAAATGTGTAAAAGGGTGTACATGAATTGAACAAATTTGTGTCTGTTTATGTGTGTTCAGTGAATCTATTTAAGTATTATTGTAAAAATATTGTAGTAATTGATGTTATTATTATTACTTTTATAATTATTAATCAAATGATGTCCATGAATCTTGGCCATACCAGTTAGTTTTGTGGTTTTGGTTGTAAAACGTGGACAAGATCAATTTTAGAGGCATAGGAGTATTGGCTAAGTAAGGCCAAGACATAAAGGCCCTTTAAAACAGTTATATTATTCTATATAAAATTGATAGAAACTAGTATTTGTAATTAGATACTTAGCTTTACTTTTTGTATACAATAACAATTGTTTAATGTGCGATTATATTGACAGGTTCTGGGATTCAATGCCAGACAACGCAAGGCTTTCCTCAATGCAGTTATGCGTTATGGAATGCCTCCTCAAGAAGCTTTCAACTCTCAATGGTAGGTCTATAGGCAGTTAAACACTTTAGTATTAGTTTGATTCCTTTTGTTAAACTTTTGAATATTTTGAATATATCTACCCCCCCTTCTTGCAGGCTCGTTCATGACAGGTGGTCAAATGTGAGGCCAGTGAATGTCTTGCTACCTAGATTTGAATGCACCCTGTTTATGCAGTTATTCTAAGTTGTGGTGATTGTGGCCAACTGGTTGAAGACAGGCAATTAATTTTTCATATTGTTTGTTATTGCTCATATCAAAATACAAATATGGTTTCATTTTTAAAGGTTGGTACGAGACCTCCGAGGCAAGAGTGAGAAGTGCTTCAGAGCATACACATCTCTCTTCATGCGCCATTTGTGTGAGCCTGGTAATGACAATGCTGAAACATTTGCTGATGGAGTGCTCGTGAAGGATTAAGCAGACAACACGTTTCTCACAGAATTGGAGTGATGTCACTCATTCGCAAAAAGGTATCACACTATATAAGCCATGTTATTGTTATTCGTCTGTTAGATAAAATCTTTTTACATTTCATGAAAACAAAATACAGTAAGGCTTTCATTTGTCTTAAAGCAGTTTGCATATATTATCAGTCAAAGGTCTTTGTTAGTACTTGATACTCTTAACTTGGATGTGGTTGTCATCTAATTATACATTTATTATTAGATTTCAGAGTTTGAGACAATCAATGGCCATTACTCAATGCCAGAAGCTCTAAATAGGCCTGTTGAGCCAGCAGTAGTAGATGGTGGCAAGAGCAATGGTACTTCTGCTTCTGGTGAGTGATCTTATGTTTCATAATTGATACCTGATCCTTTTTGTCTTTATCTTTTTTCTTTTCTTTTTCTTCCCTGTTTCCTATTTTTGTAGTTGCATTTCTATAAACTTGTGTTTTCTCATATTGTAGGTTTGTTTGACAATACATAATTTTCTGTCCATCATAGGCACACCAGCAACAAGTGTAACTCCATCTCCTGCACCATCTGTGAAGGGAGAATCAGAAGACAAGGAAGAGGACAAAAAGGAAGAAGCTAAGAAAGAAGAAGACAAGAAGGCCGAAGATAAAGAAAAGAAGGATGAAAAGGAGACAGAAAAGGAAGAAGAAAAGAAGGAAGAGAAGGTAGAGAAGAAGGAGGAAGAGAAGACGAAGGAGAAAAGAAAAGGTAAATTTTGAATTGTAATCCTGTTTTAATTTTAACAAGTTTGTGATCAATGATTTCTCAGTGATCCATACCTTTTGCCCAAACATGTTGTAGCAGAGACCCCAAAATAATGAGGCATTTTTACCTCAACAGAAGGAGGAACCTGCTGAAACACCAGAAGTAAAGGCAGAGGAAGAAGAAAAGAAAGAAACAGAACAAACTGAGAAGACTGAGAAGCCTGAAGAGGAGAAGAAAGAGGAGCAGAGAAGATGGAAGTAGAAGAGACCAAGAAGGAAGAAGAGAAGAAAGAGGAAGTGAAAATGGAAACTGAAGAAAAAGAACAGAAGGAAGGAGAACAAAAGACTGAAGAAAAGGAAGAGGCAAGTGAAGCAAATCTTTAATTTGATGAAATACTGATTTTATTTAGATTTTCTTGTACTAACTTAACTTAGAACCACGTAGTTGTCTTACTTTTCTTCGCCATAATTACATATTTTATTTGCAGGCTGAGGTCAAGACTGAAAAGGTTGAAAAGACAGAGGATGATAAGGAGACTGAAAAGAAGGAAGAAGTCAAGAAAGAAGAGGAAGAGAAGGAGGAGGAGAAAGACAAAGAGAAAGAAAAGGAGAAGGAAGGAGATAAAGACAAAGAAAAGGACAAAGATAAGAAGGAGGAGGATGATAAGAAGGATTCCAAGAAGAAGGATGTGGATTCCGTGGCAAGAGAAAGTTCATGTTCAATATTGCTGACGGTGGATTCACTGAGCTGCACACACTGTGGCAAAATGAGGAGAAGGCAGCTGTTCCTGGCCGCGAGTATGAGATTTGGCACCGCAGGTAGGCTTTGAGTCCTGAATCAATGTACATTTTAAATTTTTGACTTGTATATCCAGTTGTCCAAAAAAAATTATATATGACAATATAGGTTAGTAATATTTTATTTTTGCAGGCATGATTATTGGCTGCTTGCTGGCATTGTTACCATGGGTATGGAAGGTGGCAAGACATCCAGAATGATGTCAGTTTGCCATCATCAATGAGCCATTCAAGATGGATGTGGGGCAAGGGTAATTTCTTGGAAATTAAAAACAAATTCCTTGCCAGAAGGTTCAAGGTAATATTTTATTAATGTATTTGTAATTTTTCTATTCTATTGTTTACTTTGTTGTAAATCATCCTTTATCAGGTTTAGTTTACTGTTGCCTATATATTTTTCATATTTGTTTCCTGAAATGCCATGTATTATTATTTCCATTTTCTTCTTGCTCCTTTTTTTCTCTTCTTTCCTTTTCTTCTCTTTTTGTCCTCTCCTTTCTGGTAGTGAATTCTCGTGCAGTCTTCTGTCGTAAGGAGAAATTTGGCAAAAAATCAGATTTTGATAATTTTCCTATTCTCTTTTGGGACCAAGCAGCTGTTAGAGCAAGCACTGGTCATTGAGGAACAGCTGCGTCGTGCAGCATTCCTTAACTTACAACAGGATCCCCATCATCCTGCTTGCACCTTGAATGCTCGTTTCGCTGAAGTGGAATGTCTGGCCGAATCACACCAGCACCTCAGCAAGGAGTCCCTGGCTGGAAATAAGCCAGCTAATGCAGTGCTAAATAAGGTTAGATTTCATTAAGCTTTGCTAAAAAAAAAAAAAAAAATTTACTACTGACATATTTCATTCAGTGCCTGTGAATATATATTACACTAATATTTTTAAATAGCTTATGATTTTTATTTGTCCATGAAATAGGTGCTGAACCAGCTTGAGGAGCTGCTGTCAGACATGAAATCTGATGTCACACGGTTACCTGCTTCCCTTGCCCGTATTCCCCCTGTGGCCCAGCGTCTCCAAATGTCTGAGCGTTCTATCCTATCTCGCCTGGCCTCAGGCGCGGGTAATGTGGACAAAAGCGCTCAAGGAGCAGGTGAGGGTTAGTGTTGCCCAGAAATTCCTCTTCCTATTGATGGTTCAGGTTGTCTGGTTTTGGTGAAGTGTGTCATCAGCTTCAGTAAGTTGGTATTTATTACCCTTCCGCAAGGAGAGCATTCAATGTTAGAATGGTATGGTCAGAAATTTCCATTGGAAAATCTTTTCATCCTGCTTTTCTTTTATCCTGTGTTTTATTTATTGTTAATGCTGGGAAAATATTTATTTAGCTTCTTTGGTACATAGCAAGTTTTTTGTAATTTTGAATAGTTGTATTGCAAATTTTTAAATTATCAGTAGAGAAAATTTATATAATTTAGTGAACTTTGTTTTGCACTATCCAACGGATTGCACAAAGCCTAGCGTTTTATTAGGTGTGCTGATTCCTTTTCATTTACTGATAAAAACTGTTTGTTATGCCACATTTATACCAACATTGCTGCAGTTTTAATGTTTTGCTTTTTTATTCATGATTTTGGTCATAAAATGTTTGCATAATTAACCCTCATGGTTTGTGGTGTATGATGTGTGATAGGTTTATTTTTTCAGTATTTACAGTATTATTTATTTTCATTATCCCTTACACTAATGATTTTGCAGTTCCAAGTTTAGATATGGTGGCCAAGATAACTGGATTATATTCTGCAGTCTTATTTTTAGATTAACACTCTTCAGAAGATTGAAATGTTTGGCAAGGCATGCATTTAGTGCAGTCATTACAGATTTGTCTTATAGGGAAGTTGTAAAATGAACAATCCAGCAGTGTTGGCAATTGCCTGTCAGAAGTAATTTTTAGTAAGGATTCTTTTCAAGAGATGTTTGTTGTATTGATTTTAATTATTTATTTGTTTGTTTCTTTGTCTAGTATTTATTGTTCCTCAATGTCAAAAATATTTTTTGTTTTTTCTCCAAAATGTCAGTTAGAATGCAGTGTTGTAAAGCTTAGCATCAGGAATGTTTGTTTTTTCCCAGTTCATTACTTCTATAATCAGTGAATTAAAGAATCCATTGTTAATATTTGGTTTTGTTTGCAGGTCAAATTTCTACCACATTCCCTGGTGGCTTCACTCCTACTGGTGCGCTGCCAACCCTGGGTAACGCCAACTTTGCTAACTTCCGACCCCAATATTCACTACCGGGAGCTGCTACAGGACCAGGTGCTGTGCAGGCTGCCTTCCCAGGTATCCCTCCCATGGCTGCCAACCCTGCCTCCAAGTAGACCCCTGCTGATGCTGCTGATGCTACTCCTGCTGCTACTGCTGCTCTGCGTGGCCCAGTGTGACACTAACCCAGCTCGGTGAGTGTGGCTGTCACTGGTGGTCAGGAGTAGCCACTGCTCCTCGAGGATGCCTAACCTATACATGGTGGAGGCTTGTTGTTGAGTTGAATATTGGCTTATCACATAACATTCATATGAAATGATGTATTTAAGATATATTTATGTAACTTCAAATTTTTGTAATCAGAGATAAAATCGCTAAAGTGTATTGACTTTGCTATACAAAGACCAGATATTAGAGGTATTTTGACCTCAAAACTGAAAAGAAGAAAAAAAAGTTTTCAAAATTGGCAAAGTTGGTTGGAAGACTCCTGACTGCCATCACAACTAAGCTGCCCGTAACCTCTGACTAAGGGAATGTGATTCATTTTATTTTTATTTACTTATTATTATTATTTTTTTTTTTCCATCACGTTTTTTTCCCATTTTCTTTTTGTTTCTTGTTTATTTTCCTTTTTGTTATTGTTTATTTTATTTTTATTTTAGTATGTAGCTTTATATATTGCATGCCTCTTACAATAGTTGCTTGTTACCATAAGCCCATCATAATGCTGGTTTTGTGGATAAGCATGTTTCTCTAGTCTCCTTGTGCAAATATTTTCAGCTTCAGAGCAGGTTTCATATAGGTGTGTGAAAATATGTATTTAATATAATAATATATATATATATATATATATATATATATATATATATATATATACATATATATACATATAAGTTGAAATTGCTGCTTGGATATAAATGAATTGGGCAGGAGTTAAAAGAAAGGAAAAGGAAAAAAATAAGCAAGTGAAGTATGTAATTATTTGCCTATCCGAGATATGCTTATATTCTGTTACAGTAAGTGAATGTTTGCATTCAGTTTTTTGTTGGTCTATTTTATGTTCTTTTTCTTTCTTTTAAATCACAATTGGTTTTCATTAGTATCACAAAATTAATGGTAAGGTTTTATGTATTCAGTTGGTCTCAGATGTGCAGGTATCATCTTGATTACAAAGACTGACCTGTATATATAGTGCTCCCATTTTTTCTGTATTTAACCAGGCCATTTTAATGTAATTTGATAATTACTTTGGAGAATTTCACTTATATTATTTGGACCATAAGGGAAGGGGAATTTGTGAATACAGTAAAACCTGAGATTGCTACTTTTTCCTTTTATTTTTAAAGTTAGGATTTTTGACTGACAGTTTGGCTGTACATTTTCATTGTTAAGGACAGTAAGCACATATATGTATGTTTTTTTAGGTAAATATGCAAAATAGATATCTAAAAAAGAAGTTTTCTCTTTCAGCTTTCTCTTTTCTTCAGCTTTTGAAAGACATTGTTAAACATCTTTTCCTATCTTGCTTTTCTTTTCTAATTTTCCTTTTATCCGTTTTTGTCCAGTTATCATATTGTAAATGCATATTTTCCAGTATCTTTCATATTCTATTTTGTACATCTTCAAAACAGTATATGTAAAAACACTAATTGTTAGTGTTATCTTATCAATATATACAAAATAAGCCACAAACTGTTTCCTGGACATTGTAAAAGAAGAGAATAGATTTTTAAAACAAGTTTTATGTATAAGTATGCTTTTATAAGACTCAATTCCATTTCTATTCCCCCATGCACAAAAATATATAATAAAAAAGTAATTATACGTCTCAAAAGATCCACACATGCTGATTGATAAATATATATATAATCTTATTTATTTCAACATGCCATTATTATTCTAAATGCCCTTCCTGGCTGTCCTTAACTGCCTTCCGTGTGTAAATAACCAAGCATTTGCAAATGTAAACAAATTTTATGCACATGTAAAAGAAAAGAAAGAAAAAAATGCTTGCTTTGGCCAGCAGGAATTTGTTGGCGTGTATCAGTGGAGCTTAACTCGTAATAATTAGTTTGTTTGCTCAATGTTCTCAGCACTGAATTTTCTTGCAAATTTTCAGTTAATGAAACCAAGAAAAGTAGAAGACATTCCCTCCTCTCTTTCTAAAGCTCTGATCTTTGGAAAATAGATATATGAAGTAAAATGAAAATTTCACATACAGTATGGTGCTGCTCATCCTCAAGATGATTCCCTCGTACCATATCCACTGACCTACACATGGTTGGGTTTGTGTAAAGCAATAAAAAGGAACAAGAATTAATTAACCTTTGAATGAAAAAGCACTTGAAAAGAATTGCTTATATAGTCTAGATGGATGAAAAGTACATAAAAGAATAGTGTAATTTTACTTAAGGGGAAAAATTTTGATGCTGTTGAAAATATAACTGAAGTGAATATGCCATGTTTGAAGTGCCATGGGAAAAGCAACACTTGTTTCTTCTTCACTGAGCCATGAGCAAATTATTTTGTAGCTTTTATTTCTGTTGATATTTAACACTTTTCTTGAGTTCATGGAGACTTTCCTGTTCCCATCTCTGTAGATAGAGTTCTCTTTGTATTGTCAAATAAAATTTGAACATCTCTCTAACATAAACTATTGTACTTTGATTATAAATAGCTTGACACTCCATAGGGCAAGACTAACATCTAATTGAAGTCATTAGCAGTCAGTTTGCATATTTTCCTCCATGTTTGCAAATATGAAAGCTATACTGCTAGTCTAATAGAATGTGCTATATGCCATATCAAGCATAAAACACTTTGTTCAAAATCAGTATTTAAAAGACAATTAAGATAAGAAAGGTAAACAAAGTCTTAGGAAATATAGAAAGTAAAAAGGGTTATCTATTAAAGATATTAGATGTGTAATTGGAATGGTAAGGGTTATTTTATTGATTATTAAATCATAATTGGAAGAGCCTTGGATTAAATGTAAAGTATTGCTGTTGTATTTATGTAAGTGTTCCTGCTTTTTTTCAGGATGAGTATTTTAGTGTATCTTACTTTATGTATAGTATGATTTGTCTTAAAGAAAGGTCTTTTGCAATTTTATGTTGTAATCAGTGTTTCTGCAAGGTGATGATTTATAACACAGGTGAATAGGTAAGGGCTATTAGATATTGCTTTGCTTCCTGTTGCTGCAACCATCCTTGATACGGTTATTCACACCTTAGTAACACCAAAATCTGTTATGGCTCAGGTTCACAGTTTATGCTTTATGGTCACTGCCATGATGCCTGAATTGTCTTGTGCACTAACTCAAGTTTTGCTAGTTCCTATCTCACCACTGATGCTTACTGCTTAAAACACCTGGGAGGGATGTTATTTTGTTTATGTATTTGTGATATTTTGATATTTGTAATTTTTTTAGGTATGAACTTTCTGGTCCAAATTTTACAACCACAACAAATGTGTCTTTATGTTAACATGTTCCTTTTTTCTTTTTTCTTTTTTTCTGAAAGAAAGAAAAGACGGTATACTTGCCTTTTTGTTGTGTTACTTTGGAGATAAAGTTCCTGAATCATTCCCAGTGGGCTTCTCAGGTAAGTAATCAAGCTGATGTAACATATGTCATTCCTCTTCAGGTGTGCCATCTGTGCAGGTGAGCAGCCTCCAGAGCCTGGGTGCAAGCCTTCACATGCTTGCTGCCTCCAACCCTCTCCTGGACCCACACTTGAGCATGCAGCAGCCCCCGACCTCCCATAGTGGGGCAATATCTGCTGCCACTCGAGCATCTCTTCTTCTTCACCAACAGCAACAGCAGCAACTCCAGCAGCATTCAGGAGATACAAAAAATCTGATATACTTGGATTAGAACCAAACATGGGATCGATGACTTGTACCACAACCAGATTTTATTTTTATTTGACTTATATTTTGTTTTATTTATTTATTTTGACCCTCCACCTAGAAATGTGCAGTCAGTTTAGTCATTCCGAGAGATTTAGGCAGATTTATTTGAATTTATGTAATCTCATTGATGTATAAGATACCTGTGGTAGATTTCCTAAGTGATCTCAAAGGTCTTTGTATCCACAAGATCTAGTTCTTACTTTAAAGGCTTAATGTAAGATTTTTATGTAATGTCAACTAAATGGTAACATAAAATACCATTAGAACTATCTGTTTCAGTAACCTTCTTGACAGAAATTGTGTGTTTTTGGTGTTATTGTTTTATTTAAGAGATTTGAAAGTGTTGATGAAATGGGTATTACTGCTCTAAATATTGCATAGTTTTATCTGGAATTGATCCATCTTACCCTGCCATATCCACTACCATATGCAGAGCATGTATCATATTCATGAAAGCCATCTTATTTACTTTTTATCCATTTGACTACTGTTATTTAAGTTATCCTTTTAAGCATTGTTTGCTAGTATCACCACTTCCAACTAAGGATTAATTCCCAAAACGAATAGTTCTTTAGCTGCAATTGACTTATCATCCATTGTGTGTGTGCTTATTCAACTTGATAATTTAAATAAACTGGGAAATCATGAAGCTTTCCCAAAATAGTCCTTGCTGAAGTATTTTTCAAGAAATCTATTGAAGTTTTCACAATGCATTTACAGAAACTTGCTATATGTAATACATAAGAAATGCTAGTAGGCTTCCCTTTGTGTTTGTATGTCGATGAGACTAGGTTTGAGCTAATTCTTCATCCTAGCATGGACTTACTTTTTAGCATCAACTTGTAGTACAAAATTCTTTTTACAAGCCTGAGTTTTGTATTGCAACATCTTGGAACATCCTTTCAGTATGATTGTATCTTACTCCATGGACACCCTTGCAAAATCACACACCTTTTCTTTTGACAACTTTGATTTAACATTCCTTTTGTCAATTCCTATCATAACCCATTTAATCCATAAACATTGCCTTATGAACCAAAATAAGACATTTGATAAATGAACAAAAATCTTGTCATAGAGATATCAAGATGCTGTAGCAAGTACACAAAGCATAATCAGAATTTCCCAACTGAGTTGAGTCATCGTTGTTTAAAAAAATAAGGGTCCATCAGAATGGAAACGGGAGAACAACCCCCAACCATCAATTGCCTCATTGCCCATTAACCCCAGCCCCCTAGTCCATACGTTTCCGAAGCACTGGCGCATTGATCCCAGATCATCAAAATTGTTGAAAAAATGTATATAAAATGGGAGGAAACTCTTGACACCAGACCTCCAAGACAGAAAAAGAAAATTTTTTCATCAATCAAATGCTTTTTCTGTTCCTCTCAATTCCTTGCTCGTTTTCTTGGGATGGAGGCCATAGGAAACAGACTGAGGTCCAGTCTAGATCATCGTACCTCAGCCCAAACCCTCAACTAATTTTGCATGTTTTTTCGTCTTTCCCTTTCCTTTTTTCCTTTTCTTCATCATCTGTCCACATCCTGAAGTGTGAGGGTTGTCCTGAAAGGATGAAAGGCTGGCTTTGGGTCGGTCCTGAACGGCATTTGTACTCCGTTTACTATTCCCTCTACCCTTTTCACTATCATACTAACCTACAGGGCTCTACAACCTTTGACATCTAACATATTTTGTCCTAATCATTAATAGTTTTTTAACCTTTTTGCCACACAATGCTTAATCATAGTGCTGTGTGACCTTTTCCTCATCTAGGGCTTTGCCCAAAAGCATCACCCTATTGCTGAATCGTGAATACATTGCTACTGACCTTTGATGTTGATGCCGAAGAAAAAAATACAATAAATAAATTTCTGTGTGTTCTGGTGTCAAGAATAACAACTGAATATGGGGGACAAAACTAATGACTTCTAAAGAAAAAATATACTACTAGTACCCACTTATTGAGATGAATTTTTAAGAGGCGAAGTCATTGCTACACTAGGGACATCTTGTAGACGTGTCACATATCGATTAACAAAGGATCTGTATGAAGCTTCACCTTTTCAAGATTGAGATCTTGAAGATGTAAGAGTAGAAGCATACTTCTGATCTTACTGTGCCGTAGGAGTACGACATGGATCGGCTTATTCAATTATCCTTATTAACTTGACGAAGTTGGGAGCATGGCCTATGTTAATCTGGACACAACCATAATGGCTCATTAGAATTTGTGATGAGGGGAGATCCAGAACTGTGGAGTAAATGAAATTAAGAGTTGGAAGAAAAATCTGAAGCAATTCCATGGATCGGTTATCCTTTTCTATTTCAAAAGCATATATAAGTGGATCTGTGGTTGCTGTTATATGGCATGAAAAAGTAGGTGCAAGCGACTGTAAATGGAATAAATCAGTTGCAAACTGAAAGAAAGTATTTGGAGGTAGATGCAGGTTTTGTTGTTGTGGGGGGTGGGGCTTAGGAGACGGATACTGAGACCCAATGCAGGGTTCTCCCCTGCTTAGGGCCTCTGCCCTCAACTCAATTAATTGTGCATGGCCTTATCTCCCAGCTTTTTTTTTGTTTCCGTCACTTCTCCAACCCTGAAAGGAAAGGCCGACTTTGTGCCAGTCCTGAACAGCCTGAGGGAACCATGGGAACGGTATTCCCCTATTTTAGTTGTCTAGCCCTTACCAGAAGACAATCCTACTCTCCCAACTTCTTCAACTTCATTACCTCTACGCCTACGACCTTCTTCATGAAACACCCCACCCCAAATTATTTTGCCACTCTAAATCCAGACATTCCAATCTCGAGTACAGCCCCAGTACCATCCCCTCTCCCTCCCCGCACTACCCGCAGTAGACATCCCCCTCCTACTTATATTCCTTCTACATCCCTTCCTGCTCCCTCTCAACACAACCTAACCCCCTCAATTCCGACTACTACCGATATTCATCCTCCTGATACTACCGATATCCATCCTCCTCTTACTCACATTCCCCTTACACTCTTCCCTCCTACTCCCTCCCAAAACAACCCATCCAACCCATGACACTTTGATTGGAGGTGATATTTTTGTAGTTTGAAAAGTAGACCCATAGAGGTATGAGTCTTGACTAATAACTCCTTTGGTACCTGAATAAATGGTATAGAATGTCCTTTCTTGTCTCCTCCACTACTGAATCGGCTAGTAATTTGTTGGTTCTGATTAATATTGAAGACGGAATTTTTTGAGGGCGGAGAAACCAGTGCCACTGAAGGCCCAAAGACTACCCATTGAGCCCATCATGTAGGCCAAGGCTCTTCCCAACCCAGGAGTCCGCCCAACTTGAAAGTCACTTTTTCCTGGACGAAAAAACGAATTACGCCAGCGATTAATAAGTTCTCTTTCATTTTCTTGTATTGTATTATTTTTAAACGAAGTTGTTGCCTTTGAAGGTGCACCTTCAGACTTTCAGAGTGACCCATATTTTTTATGGGAAGAGCCTATTGTATAACTATTGATGTTACCGAGAAGTCAAGGAGCGCGTAGGAAAATTAGACCTAACTTTGGAAGTCAGTAATGTGGGAAGCGATAAACAGAAAGGAAATGTTGGGAATCTCAAGTTCCACTGGTTTGTGGCATATCTTTAATCAGAGATCGAATCATCTGTTCATCTTCACAACATAGACGATGAAGCGGTATGTTGCATAAGAGATTTGATTTAATTGTCAAGAGATTCTTAGAAATCGTGCTTTTCCGTAGCTCTGGTCTTTTTCCCGCTACCTGTTCTTAATGTGACTTTACTAGTGGAATACTCTAAGTTTGCAAGATTGGACACTACTGAGGCCTTCTTAGAATCAAACCAGGATTCTGGGTAGTTTCTTTCGCTGACAATGATAAAAGTTCGCTAAGCATAGACATTAGTGATAATGTAATCGAGGACTATCGAACAGTGAAGTAGGATGTATGATCCGTCAATATGAATCTGTCATCTGATATTCTTAAGCTAGGAGAAAAATCCGCCTTGTGATATTTTGGAGAAGATGAGTATCAGGAAATGTTTGTTCAGAATTCAGAGGCCACTATAGTCTATACATAGTTGACACAGGCCCTGCTGGTGAACTAAGGTTAACAGCATACGTGTGTGCAGCGTGAAGAAGCCAACAAGTTTGTAATTCCTCCACAGATAATATATGCGAAATCTGAAAATGTGAAGTACTACGGGGCGAGGTCAGTTAGACTAGAAACGGACTAAGGGAGATTCAGCTGGTGGTACCATTACTAAAGAAATGGCTGACAATGCCTATGTCATGTCAATTGTAGCTGAAGCACGCCGAACAGATGAAATTTCTGGCGATATTGTCTTTGGTTGCCAGTATGCCGCTTTGAAGAAACGACTAACTCTCCATTTGTCAAGCACATTCTTCAACACCTGAGACGGAAAGGTAGTGATGAATATCAATACCTTATTAACTGGACCTCACTCAAGAAAGGTCATTTAGCACACCCGAAATTTCCTCCACACACTCGCCACTCAACTGTCTCCAGTCTGCAGTCGACTGTGATAAAGTAACTCCTGCCTATACAGCGTCACATCAGTTTGCCATTCTCGTCCAGTCATTCTTCACGCTGACCTTTCCAGCTTCATGCGCGGCTGGCTCAGGATCAATCGACTGACTCCTATTACAACGCCTTGCCACCTGTCGAACCTTGTATTGTGTGATTGTACGGTCAACCTTCTGTGCCACATAAGCATCCTATCAACTCCCATGAGGTAATTTTGTGAAGGTCTTCCCACTGCGCAGCAGACGGTTTTTCACCTTTTCTGCCTCTTCCAGGACACTTAACAAGGCCTTCAATCTCGTCAACACATCTATTATGTTCTTCCAGACAGAACAAAACACTCATAACTCCATACTGAACTCCAATAATCAACTCTTTCAGGTTCCACAAGCGGTGTTTCACGATCATCTCTGTGGTTCCTTTCGTCCGTACTCCGCAACCAACCACTGTATCTGAATCCGTTCTAACCTTGATGTTTCGCAAACTCCACTTCAGACCCAAGTCGACACCTTTTAATACAGCGTCTAATTCCGCCACATTGATATGGTTATGGCCATTCTTCTTCCTTAACATGCACCATCCTCATTGCCAGTCTCCAATATCAATCCAGTGGCAATGCTACTTGCGTCACATCAAACCACTCCCTTCTCCGACTTGTTCTACTCCCCATCTAACTGGATCGCAACTTTACTCTCCCTACTTTATTTTGCATCATCTCGATAG